CTCATTGGCTGTCATTTTTACGGTTTTAAAACGTCGAAAAAGACAGCCAATGAGATTGGAAATTCGTCATTTGAAACGCCATCAAAAACGTCGAGCGCGAATCCAGCATCGTCTCATTCAAGAATTGAAAAAAAATGCAAAAACTTTTCGTATTTTTCTCGCATTACAAATTTGTTTTGTACGTTAAAATATTGTTAGTATATAGTAAAAGTATCGTAGATTTTATTTCCGTGATTAGTTTAGCGTAGATGTAGAGATATTTGAAGTGTTTTGGATTGTTTGAAAGTATATGTATCGTTAGTTTGATTGAATTTGCCTACCTTAGGAAATAATACAACTATACAATGCCTCGCCCGCAGGCAGGCAGGCAACCATAACATTGGGCTGCCTATGTTATATGCATGACAAAATCGCTTTCTTTATATTTCAACTGCATTTTGTCAAGAGTTTTTAATTCTTTTGTAAGCAATTTGGTATAAACAAACTTGGGAAATGATTATAAACTCATAAAGGCACATAACTTAAACTAGAACACAAGATTCAAACTCAAACAACATATATTTTAGACTAAGAAAATCTTTATAAATTGTATTCCAAACTTACATAGTCACATTTCGCCGCATCCCGCCAAGATTATTTCTTAAAAATGTTTCCAGGTATTATCCACAGGCTCTTTTTGCCATACAATGTTTCTTAAACTCATTCTTGTGCCAAAATTCAGTTAAATTCGTCCAAATTTGTTAGAAATACTTATCTAAATTTCGGCGCCATATTGGATTTTGTTGTTTTGATTTCCCGCTCCCCCCAGCCATCACGAAAATCATTAATTGCACTCCTGGAGAGTGCAATTAATGAAATAATTGCACTCCTCTTAACCAATCAGATTGCAGTAATTTTGTCATGTATATAATAAATTTTTTAATTGATATTTGAGGTTGGGTAATAATTTTTTTTTACTTTTTAATGGTTGGGTCAGCAAAATATTTGCCAGGAAAAATATTTCTCTTCGGTGCCACCCCCCGCCATAAATAATGACCGGTCCCTTAGTTTCTCTTCGAAGCTCATGAGCTTCTAAAACATGATAAAACTAAACAAAAGCAAATAAACTAATCAGATTATAAAACTGAAAGACTTAAATGCCGTTCCGAAACATGGTCATGAACGGTCAATCAATATGCATGGCCTGGAATAAGTCATTGTTCTATCTTTTTGTTCATATCATGTTTATGGAAACTTGTGCACGCTGAAGACATGTTCAAAGAATTTTTAGCATAATGAGGAAATTATCTAATAGCGTCGCCTAGCTCATCAAATTACTCATTAGCACTAGCTAATATATTGGCATGTACTGTTGAAATATTAATAAGAAAAATAATTTTGTGTTTTTAATTTAATTTAATTAAACGCGCTCGTTTTCCTCGTTTAAGCGCGCTCGTTTTCCTTAATAAAGTATTTGCATAGGCAGCCCAATGTTATGGTTGCCTGTGCACGGGCGAGGCATAGTATAGTTGTATTATAGGAAATAATACCATTGGGCTGCCTATGGTATTTGTTCAATATTGGTCTCCAAGTCATCAATGATTTACCCTGGATTCCAGAGCCTTCGACAGTAAATAATAAATTGAAACGTCGCAAACGGGCTCTGGTTCAACGGGGAGATTCTTTGATCAAACCGCGCCAATCACAAAACAGAATTAGTGGTTTTAGTACAGATTCTGCACTAAAACCACTAATTATGTTTTGTGATTGGCGCGGTTTAATCATTTCAAAGAATCTCCCCGTTGAACCAGAGCCTTCGCGACGTTTCAATTTATTATTTACTGTCGAAGGCTTTGGAATCCAGGGTATCAATGATTCAAAGCCGTTTGAAACTTTCTTTTATTATGCCTTACTCTAAGAGACTCAATTCCTTCTATAACTTTCCGCTGTCCTAATCTATCATGTATATTTAATAAGAAAAAAAATTTAATATGAACAGAGGTGAAAGTTTCAGAAAATACTACAGGGTGTATAAAAAAAAGGAGACCTTTAGAAATCAACCATATTGTTAAAATTTGAATGCCTTTTCAATTGCACATATGTGTATACTGTACAGGGTGTCCCAAAAAAACCCGAAAACTATTGAAATCACGTATTGTTAAATTTGAATGCCCTACCAAACAGCTGGACGTAGTGATGCGTAAAATATTGACAAGGCGCATGTATTAGAATTTAGTTAGGAATATCTCCTGGCAAAGTGCGCGATTTTCTGCTCCTGGGAATTAAAAACAGCTTCTTAAACAGTTTCTTTATGCATAAAATTTACTTATGTCAATCATTTATGCACTCGTGGGAACCAACAGAGCGCTAAGGCATTCAAATTCTAACAATTAAATTGTTATTGGTGATTTCAATAGTTTTCGGGTTTTTTGGGACACCCTGTACAGGGTGTCTCAAAAAAACCCAAAATCATTGAAATTGACGTATTGTTCGATATTCAATGCCCCAGCACTAAGTTAATCCCACGAGTGCATAAAAGATTGACATAACTGCTATAATGAATGGTAATACTCAGCGTAAACTTGTTATGTCAGGCATAAAGTACTCAACCCACGAATTTACGAAGCATTTTTAAATTCCCATGAGCAAACAAACGTTCACTTTACAAAGATATTTTAATTTTTTAAAACAAATTAATCACCCTGTCAAAATCCTTTGTGTTACGGCATTGAAATTCGAACAATACGTTATTTCAATGATTTTGGTTTTTTTTGAGACACCCTGTATATTAGCAAAAGGAGACCTTTAGAAATTGAAATAACGTTTAAACAAAACATTGTCTGCTCCTGGGAACAATCTGCCATGCATACTGTACGCAGATCTCATGTTACCCACTCGTGGGCTTAGCAAAGTGCTCCATGCAGGATTCAAATTATAACAATGGTTGATTTCTAAAGTCTCCTTTTTCTAATATATGCACTCCATCAATATTTCACGCACCACGGTTCAGCATATGTGCAATTGAAAAGGCATTCAAATTTTAGCAATATGCTTGATTTCTAAAGGTCTCCTTTTTTTTTGATACACCCTGTATAGGCCTGCGCTGCGTTAGTCATTCGTATATATGCATTCATTCACTCGTGGCCGATGCATGGCATCAATTGACATAGTGCAACAACTTGCAACGCCAACAACTTAATCATCACAATGAGTCACAACTATTTGAAACGTTAACGGCTTATCTGCATGGACTCAGTTTTAGAAATTCTACATACAACTTATTTGTTGGAGCAAATTGTTATTTTTGTCATACAGTTCAACAGCTTGTTATAATAATTCCATTCAGGCCATTATTACAATTTTGCTTATTAACGAGATACAAAGGCGCAGCGAGCAGCGTAATATAGTCATTAATTTTAAGTGTTTTTGTTTGGTGTGGTTAACCATCTGAAGAAAAACAAAGAGTTACTGCTGTTAACTTTCTCTTTGAGTCTTTGACAACAGCAGATCATGCGTGCGTGTCAAGTATTATATTGATCTAACAAGAACAAGTCAAAAGTCAACGAGCTGCAAACGTCAGTTGCAATTTATTATTCAGGATGCATTAATTATTTTTGGATATTTTGAGTGGCATGTATCTTAATTAAACGTCCCTCGCGTGTTTACCGTGAACATGCATTTATGCATTGAAATTCGCATATAAACTAGATTAATGCAACAGAAGTTTGCCAACTTCAACTATAACTTCAAAAACGTTCATACTACCTCTTGCGCCATATAGTGCTTTGTGAATCCCACATGTTAACTAACTGTATGCCTTAATCTCAAAATAACTATTTGACTGCGTATCCACGTATCCGTGTATCCACTAAAATATAGAGCTATACCTTTAAAACTATGATAATTTAATCTATTAATGCTTATGCCTCGTAGCTACCTTGACCACCATGCGATTTAATCTATCAATCTATTTATTATTAATCTATTGAGAATAAATATAGATGTATTAATACATCGTATCCATGATATTTGAAAGACATGTAGCTTAAATAATGGATGTGTATTCTGCAATCGCTCCAAAAAAGTTACAAAAAAGAGTTACAGAAGCAAAGAAAAGCAAGTGGGAAATTGGGAATGGCGAATATAACTTAATCATCTCAACCAAGCAACTCAATAATAAATAAATCACCAATTGCGCGCGCAAAACACACTACATGGAAGCGCATCTAATAAGAAAAGTATCCGCTGAATGTTTTGTTTAAGGGCGCGGGTCAATGATGCGTCCGACTATCAATGAGGAGTCCGACTGTCTATACGGAAAAAAAATTGCGTCGGCGATGTCCATTGTCGTTGATCATTGATGATCGAGTAAAATCTTTTGTCTATGTTCTTCTTCACTGATCTTAAACAATGGCATCGCCGACGTTGGCGACACTATATGAGAATCAGGCTTATATAAATCAATATATCAACTCAAAGCGGAATGATCTCAAATAAAAATTTCATGGCAAGTGTTCTCTTCGATTCCTTGCATCCTGCGTTGTCTTCAAAATCAGTTAACGGTAAAAAGTTTGGTATTTTAACGGTAAAAGTTTGGTATTTTAACAGTAAATCTTTGAAAACTGTTCTGAAACGATAAACAATATTTTTTCCTCACGCTTAATTCACGGTAAATTTTTAGTGTTTTCACGACTGATGGTAACCGAAATTGAGTGAATCCGATCGACTCACGATATACCCCATCAACACCCTCGTTAATAAAGGCCGAGACGCAGAAAATGGCATTACAAATCGCAACAAAAATTGCAAGTGTATAAACAAGCCTTTAAGACCCGTTTACACTTTTGCTGCCATTTTTAGTGCGATTTTCTTCTTCTGATGGATGTGAACAAGTAACCTGGCTCCAGATTCAATCTGAAACTGGAGCTGCGAATCTCAAACTGGAGCTGACTGGCTTCTCGTATGTACTCTCCCAATCCCTCATTTAAATATTCGTAACTCATTCACTCGTTCACATATATCAGGAGAAGAAAATCGCACCTAAAATCTATACCAAAACTAACTTATAAGGCTGTTTTGATTAAAAGTTGGATTCTAAATATTAAATGTCTTTGGGAGAATCGAATTCTAATGTTTCAAGAAAGAAACGTTGCGTGTTTTTTTCAAGCAAAGAACGAAGTGGTCGACCGAGAACAGCAAGATCAGCGGAGAACATCGAATGGCCGTATATATATATATATATATATATATATATATATATATATATATATATATATATATATATATATATATATATATATATATATATATATATATATATATATATATATAATATAATATATATACATATATATACATATATATATATATATATATATATATATATATATATATATATATATATATATGTAACAAACAGAACGTGCATGCCACAGCCTTCTTCAGAGTGCCTATAGCTTTACACAGAACATACTTATATACAATAAATTATGAATAAATTACTATTGTTGGGGGAAATCATGACTACCATTAAGGCCTTTCCGGTTGGTCAACAACATTCCTATCCAAAAGTTTTCACTCTTAAGTACTTCACTATGGTGTTGGTCAATAAGCATAAATTTTAAGCTCGAATGATCCGCCTCATGCACATCAATAAAATGATTTGTTATACTGCATGTCCGGCGCTTATGCTTAATGTGTGATTTGTAGTTAGCTAGTCTGGACTTAAAATTGGCCGTGGAGCCAACACCTTGCAAACCACAAAGCACACACTCAGCAAGATACACTACATTACTGGAAGTGCACGTCAAAGATTTTAAAATGAGAAATATCCTTCCAGTGGCAGCTGCACGAAAGGAATTGCCAAAAATCAAAAAGTTCTTACAACTATCACAGCGCTTGGCATCACATTTGTAGCAGCCTCCACCTTCCAGTTTATTGGGCTTATATGGGTTAGATGGTGCTAATAACTCCTTCAAATTGGCATTACGCTTATACGAAACAAGAATGGCACCCTCCGGTAGAATTTTTTTGGCCTGTTTATCACTATCTAAAACAGAGCGATGTTTACGAAAAATTTTTTGAATATCAGGAGCACTAGGATTAAACTTGGTAACAAAAACACAGGAATTACGACGAACTTTACGTCTACTGGTACGCGCTTCCTCACGAGTCATAGCACCAACCACCTCAAAGGCTCTATTGACATGTGCACTGTCGTGGCCGCAATCCGTAAGATATTTCCTGTAAATCCTAC